AAGAAGAAGAAAAACTTAGTGAAACTTGGTTGGATTAATGGAGTTGATGATGATCTACTCCAATTCTTTTTCTCCAAGACTTCTTTAATCTCCCTTTTTCTTGACTTCTTGAATATCTTTGTTCTCTCTTTTTTTATCTCTCAAGAATCCCCCAAAACAATGTTAAAAGACTTCTATTTATATCCCACAAAGTTTTAGGGTTTTGTTTTCCTAAATTCTATTTAGTTTAGGACTCTTAAAACCCCAATTTCCTAGTCAAACATGGAATTTAAAAACCCAACTATTGTGATTGTGCCCTGGCTCTTTGTTGTGGCATGGTTGATTATGGACTAAGTGTAACACCCACATGGAGGTATGTAATTTAAATTATGCTTTTATACCCCTCAGTTGATTTTTGTTAAAGTTATTTTGAGAAAATGAGAAGAAAATGCCATAAACTTGCATTAAGGGTAAAATGGTCTTTTCACTCAAAATTACTTGAAATTGTGTGGAGTGAAAAGAGATAGAATTTCATGGAGAATATAATAAATATGAGGGCATCATGGTAATTGACTAAGGGACATAGATGGAATTTTAAAGAAAGTGCAAGGGCAAAATGGGAATATATATATATTTGTTATATCAAAGATTGAAGAGTGAAACCCTAGCCATTCTTCAACCATTTGCATGCCATTTTCACCTCCATATTCTCTCAAGTTCTTCAATTTTTCTTCAAAGGAAATTCATAGATTTTGGGTACTTTTGGGTGGATTTTCAATCCTAAGCATCTTTAGGTAAGATCCATGCACTACGAAGTGAGTTTTAATTTTTAAAGTGTTGAATTTTGATGATTTATGTTCATAGGATTTGAGAGAAAGGGAGTTGGATCCAAGAAGGTTTTAAGTGTTGGATTGCTCTTGTATAAGGTAAGTAAATCCCACCCTAAGTATGATTTAAGTTATGGTGTAGAGAATTTCTTTTATGTATACATATGTCCTATATGTAGAAACTGTTGATGGATTTGGTGTTGAATGATAATTATAAATTGTCCATGAGTATTTTTGTTGGTGTATTGGATGTTTGATGAATGTTTGGATGAAATTTGGAAGAGTTGGAGTGGAAATTTTGGAATGTCTCTTTTGGGCAGATTTGGTGTTGAATATGGAGGGTTTAATTCCCAAATTTTGGTGGCTTAGAAAAGAGATAGAAATCTTGCCAAATTAGAGTTACTTTGTGCATATAAGGTGTTTGATGAAATGTCAAAGAGAAGTGTTTATATGAGTATGATTATGTATTATATTGAGATGAGTCTGTAGATGGTAGAGAATGGCATGTTTGCATTCCATATTGCATAATTGTATTTAAACATGTGAATTTAGAAAGAAGTATAAGCATAAAACCATCTACATGCATACATATTCATAAGAGTATGAAAAAGCACTAAATAATGTTAAAGATTAAATAGAAAGAAATGAGAATATTAAAAAGTTCCAAATCTGAATTTTATTTAAAGAAGTGTAAAAATATAAAAAGAAGAAAAGGTTGTTGCGATGGGGAACCATGAGTGACAAGAAGAATTTTCCCCACATACACGCCACCTTTAGTGAGCGGCCTAAGAAGAAGAAAGAAGAATTGGTACAGTCCGTAAGAGTGCATGTGGATGAGGGTTGTACCCAAGAAAGAAGAATACACTCACATGGCCAAGGTTTCAAATCTATGCCTCAACCGAGTCTGATCGGCAAAAGAATAAGAACAAGAAAAGAAAAGAATAAGAAAAGCATAAGAATAAGAAAAGAAAAGAATAAGAAAGAAGAGAAAAGAATAAGAAAGGAAAGAAAGGAAAGAAAGGAAAGAAAGGAAAAGAATGATAAAGAATAAGAAAAAATAGAAAGAAAAGAAAGTAAAACAGAATAAGAACCGAGAAAAAGGAAAAACAGAAAAGAAAATGCATCTTTTATACAATTATGCATTTGCATTTTATTTATGTATAATATCATGCCCATTATCTAAGTGAGAAATAAGAATAGAGAAAGAACAAAGGGAAAATCAGAGAAAGAACAGAGAGAAAAAAAAATAGAGTAAGAGTAGAGAAAGAATAGAGAAGAATGGGGAAATGTGAAGTAAGAAAAGAAATTTAGAATTTAAGCAAAGGAAAGAGAAGGGTAACGTAGCGGGTTTACTTACTGAGCAATTAGTGTTCACCCCGTTGTTTACAATGTTTTTGTAAGTAACAGGGGAAATGCGGTCATTTGGATCATCACACAGCAAAAAGGGTTATGCAAAACTGTCAAGCTAATATTTTAAGACTTATTTGTATTATGTAAATTTTTGTGTATAAAGAAAATTAAATATGGGCCCATACTTTTATACTCGTTTATATACTTTTCTTATATGTATTTAATGAGCTTTTACTATTATTTTACGAGTATACTAGCTAGAAAGAGAGCCATTACACTAAGTGTGTTATGGCATGGTTGGTTTTGGTCTCTCCTGACCTTGTATCATTCTTCAGCACTCCAGAGATGGTGATTTTTGAGTATGATAATGATGAAACCTGGAAAAGTGTGAAACATATGAAATTTATGCTTTAAGTCAGCCTTCCAATGGTTTAAGAATCATCTCGATCAAATATCTACAGCTCGAGTTATTATTGAAACACCGAGGCATGTTCAAAAATGGAGCGTTTTCTAGGATTTTCACTTCAACTTTAAATCACCATAACTTCTTCAATTCAACCCGATTCTCGATCCGTTTGTTTCCAATCCTCATAAATTATCTCATCAACATCATCTCTCATTTGAATATTATTTTTAAGCTTTATTCCCTGAAAATACAACAAAAATACCCGTGATCCCAAAAACTGCATTTACGAAACAATTATATTAATTCATGCAAATTAATCCTAGTTTCCCACAAACGATAACTATAAACCACTAAGTATAAGTGTATTTTCAAGCACTTATCAGCCAACAAAATTTATTGAATCAAAGGTAGGTAGAGCTTGATACTCTGAGGATTATACTATTTTATTTAAGCTTTTACGTCGGATTTTAGATACTTCTTAGTTCATTCATGCCTGAATTGCTACTTAATTCTTTACATTTCATATTTCAGGCTAAAATGGACATTTTGACCAAATAACGATCGAATTGGAGTTTCTGGACTCAGAAGTAAGTGGATCTCAGAAACTGGGAGAGTTCTGAAGCAGAGTAAAGCACTATGAAGCTTGTTCTCGGGGGAGAGCATCGAAGATCAAAGATTCAAGCAAAGAAGCAAGTGGAGGGCAATTCTGTAAATTCAAAATTTTTCATGAAGCTTCGCCGCAGCGAAATGAGTTGCACACCAGATTTCAGTTTACTTTGTCACCGCGGCGAGATTTCTTCTTCGCTGCGGCAAAGTTTGCATTTTCTAGATTTTGTAAAACGCACAGTTTCATTTTTTAGGCTAAGTTTTAGGTTTTGGAGCAAGGTATAAAAGAAAAACATTACCATTTTGAAGGGATCGCGTTTTTCTTAGTCTAGAGCAGCCATTTCATTTCCTTAGCTTAGGTTTGACGAATTTGGATTGAAAAGTGAGAGGATTTGGGATTGAATCTGGTGGATTCTTCAATTCTCTTAATTTTATAATGTTGAACTCCGAGTTTACTGTTTTTATTTTCTGTTTTCATGATTTAAGTATGAACTAACTCTTTTGTGGGTTAGGGTTTTGATGAACTTCAAATTCTATGGATTTATGAATTGATTATTGTTATTTCCATCTTCTATTGCATTGGTTGTGTGTTTATCTTGTTTTTATTGAATGTAATTGATGAATGTGATGAGATTGAGAAATGATTCATGTTAAGCCTGTCGGGTAATCACCATTGTAGTATTAAATGCTAGAGATAGATTTAAGAACCAATGAAGTCAATCTAGAGTTCTATGAGCATAATGAACTTGAATCTATTATCCTTTAAATTGTTGGGTGTGGAAGTGTAATGGAGGAAAGTAGGAATTCATAGCCTGAGAAGGTATGATTAATAAATTAGAGAATTCGATTTACAATCAATTGCATGTGAATATGGAAATGGCATAATTCGTAATCTTAACCCATAGAGTTTGAATGAAGTCAAAACCCTACCCTTTTATTTGAATTGAATTCTATCTTTGTGTTTAATCGTGCTTTCGTAATTTAGTTTCAATACTTTGAAGTTTTGTTTTAGTTTTAGGTTTAATTTTCTCCCATCAATCCAACATTTTCGATTGCTCCAACTTGAAAATAGTAGAAAACTTAGTGATTAGCAACCAATCCTCGTGTTTTCTTATCACTTTATTACTTAGTGCGACTAGTGCACTTGCTATATTGCATGTTGTAGTAACAACGCATCAAGTTTTTGGCGCTGTTGCCGGGGATTGATTTTGTTGTTAACATTGAGTTTTTCTTTCGTTAGCTAGATTGGAGTTTATTTTTGTTGTTGTTGTTGTTATTCTTACTTGGTTTGTGATGTCACTTTTTCTTTTTCTTTGTTTGTTAGTTTATGCGAAGAGCGAGACGTCAACTAGTGGTTCCTGTTAATCATGAGATTGAAAGAACTGCCAGAAGAATTAACAGAGAAAGAAGAGAACGAGAGGCTGTAGTGGTTGAACCAGAGGTCATCGCAGTAGAGATGGCAGAAAATAGAACAAAGGGAATTTTCAGTTCCTATAGTTGAAGGTAGTGAGTCGAGTATTACTAGACCTACAATGCAAGCCAACAACTTTGAGATTAAGCCAGCAATCATCCAGATGATCCAGTAGTCGGTACGGTTTAATGGAGATTTGAAGGAAGATCCAAATCAGCACATTGCAAATTTTCTAGAGATTTGTGACACTTTCAAATCAAATGGAGTGTCAGATGAAGCCATCAGGTTAAGACTATTCCCATTTTCACTGGGGGATAAAGCTAAGGGATGGTTAATGGCACTACTATCAGGAACTATCACAACAAGGAACGAGTTAGCACAAAAGTTCCTGACAAAGTTCTTTCCTCTAGCTAAATCAGCGAAGATGAGAAATGATATCACATCGTTTCTAAGAGAAGAGTTTGAGTCATTATATGAGGCTTGGGAGAGATACAAGGAATTTATGAGGAAATGTCCACATCGTGGGTTGCCAGTTTGGCTACAAGTCCAAACATTCTATAATGGATTGATGGGGAATGTGCAAACTATGGTAGATGCAGCATCGAGGGGAGCCTTGCAGAATAAAACACTGGAAGAGGCCTATGAGTTGCTTAAGGTTTTGGCAAGCAACAACTATCAAAGACCTAATGATAGAGCAACACCAAGAAAATCTATGGGTCTTCATGAAGTTGATGCATTCACGGCCATCTCAGCCCAACTCACAGCACTTCAAAAACAGTTAGGAACTATACAGGTAAACTCTATTCAAGCTCCTCAACTAACTTGTGATTTTTGTCCAGGTAGTCATATGAGCAGTGAGTGTTAAGTAGGGAACACATTTGCTTCATCATCGTCATTTTTGGAGCAAGTTAACTACTTGGCTGGAAATCAAAGGCAGCCAAACAATCACATATAACCCTGGTTGGAGGAATCATCCAAACCTGTCTTAGGGCAATTAGAACCAGCAAAACAATCAATTGAATCAAAGGCCAGTGCCAACTAACCAAACAAGGGTGAATAATCAACCAGGAGACCCAAAAGTGACAAAATTGGAGGACATGTTTGGGAAGTTTATGCAAGAAACCACAGGATTTATGAATGAGACGAGGACGAATTTCAGAAATCAAGGGGCGTCCATTCAGAATCTTGAGGTACAAATGGGGCAATTGGCTAAAAAGCTAAATGAGAGACCACAGGGGTCTTTACCAAGCAACATGGTAACTAACCCACGTGAGCAAGCAAATGCAATAATTTTGAGGAGTGGGACAGTTTTGGATAAGGTGGAGCAAGCAAGAAGAGAAGAAAGCTCATCAAAGAAAAATGAAGAATCTGACGAGGAAGTTGATAAAAAAATAGTTGCTTAAGAAAAACCACCTAATCAAGGGAAAGAAGAATGTAAATGGGAAGATAGGCAAAGAAAAAGGAAGGAAAAATTGGCATTTCCTAAGATACCACCAAAATTGGCCCACCACACTCCTCCTGTGTCGTTTCCTCAAAGACTGAAGAAAAAGAATCAAGATAAGTAGTTTTCCAAATTCATTGAAATTTTTAGAAAATTGCATATTAACATTCCTTTTGCAGATGCATTGTAACAGATGCTGAACTGTGTGAAATTCCTCAAGGAGATTTGATCAAACAAAAGGAAATTGGAAGATGAGGAAACAATGATGCTCATGGAGGAATGCAGTGCCATTATTCAGAAGAAGCTACCTCCAAAACTTAAAGATCCAGGGAGTTTTATTATTCCTTGCATTATAGGAGATATTACTTTTGATCGAGTTTTGTGTGACTTAGGTGCTAGCATCAACTTAATGTCGTATTCTATTTTCAGGAGATTAGGCATTGGTGAAGTGAAGCCAACAACCATGTTGTTGCAACTTGCAGATAGGTCCATAAAACATCCGAGGGGGATAGTGGAAGATGTGTTGGTAAAGGTTGACAAGATCATCTTTCCGGCGGATTTTGTGGTTTTGGACAGGGAAGAGGATAAGGAAATTCCGCTTATTTTAGGCCGACCATTTTTGGCTACACGAAGAGCACTCATAGATGTCAAGAAGGAAAGTTACTATTGAGGGTTCAGGATGAAACAGTAACGTTCAATGTGTTTGAGGCTATAAAGTTTCCATCTGAAACGGATTCGTGCTTCAGTGTTGATGTGGTGGATAAACTAGTAGCAGAGACCATTGAAGAGAATTCTCCACAACTGCCTCTAGAAGCGTGTATTGCACAATCAAGAACAGTAGAGGTAGAGGAATCGGTAAAGAATGAATGTACTAGATTGTTGGAAGCACTTCAATCGATTGATGAGAATCAAGATCTTGAGTTTGAGGAGTTTGATTTTGACAAAGAGAAGGAAAAGGAAAGAAAGGAAGAACCCCCTAAGCTTAAATTGAAACCTTTACCTTCCCACTTCAAATATGTTTATCTTTGGGATTCAAAGACCTTCCCAGTAATCATCAGTTCACAATTGAGCAATTTAGAAGAAGAGTGATTGATTTGGTTGAGAGAACATTGATCGGCAATTGGATGGACTATTTCAAATATTAGAGGCATCTCTCCATCTTTTTGCATGCATAAGATACTCATGGAGGATGATATCAAGCCTAGAGTTCAACCACAACGAAGATTGAATCCTTCAATGAAGGAGGTGGTGAGAAAGCAGGTGGTGAAAATTCTAGATGCAAGCATAATTTACCAAATTTCTGATAGTCCATGGGTGATCCCGGTGCAAGTGGTTCCGGTTCCGAAGAAGGGAGGTATCACAGTAATTAAAAATGAGAGCAATGAATTGATACCAACCAGGATGGTCACGAGATGGCGAGTGTGCATTGACTACCGAAAATTGAATGAAGCAATAAGGAAAGATCATTTTCCACTTCCTTTCATTGATCAGATGTTGGAGAGATTGGCAGGGCATGCTTACTACTGTTTCATGGATGGTTATTTAGGGCATAACCAGATTGCCATAGCTCATAAGGATCAAGAGAAGAAGACCTTCACTTGTCCCTACAGCACTTTTCCTTATCGAAGGATGCCCTTTGGGTTATGCAATGCGCCAGTCACTTTTCAGAGATGCATGATGTCGATCTTTGGTGATATGGTGGAGAGGTTTATAGAAGTTTTCATGGATGACTTCTCTGTTTTTGGCTCATCTTTTGATCATTATTTTTCTAATCTGTCGTTTGTGATGTCAGGAGACGAACTTAGTGCTCAATTGGGAAAAGTGCCATTTCATGGTCCAGGAAAGGATAGTGCTGGGACATCGAATCTCAAAAGACGGAATAGAAGTGGATCGAGCAAAGACGGATGTGATTGAGAAACTGCCACCACCCTCCAATGTTAAAGTAGTTCGAAGTTTCTTAGGGCATGCGGGGTTTTACAGACAGTTTATCAAGGATTTTTCTAAGATCTCTAAACCCCTTTGCAATTTATTGATTAAAGATGTTGTTTTTTATTTTAATGATAAATGCATGCATGGCTTTCAAACTCTAAAAAAATTATTAGTGTCGGCACCTATTATTGCAGTTCCCGATTGGGGACTACCATTTGAATTGATGTGTAATGCTAGTGACTTTGCATTAGGAGTAGTGTTAGGACAAAGGAAAAACAAAGTGTTGCATGTAATTCAGTATGCTAGTAAAACCCTCACTGATGCACAATTGAATTACACCACCACTGAAAAAGAATTGTTGGCTGTGGTTTTTGCTTTTGACAAATTTCTTTCATATTTGCTAGGTTCCAAGGTGATTGTCTACACGGACCATTCAGCACTCAAGCACCTTTTGGCAAAGCATGAAGCGAAATCGAGGCTGATAAGATGGATCTTATTGCTCCAAAAGTTTGAGTTGGAGATACGCGATAAGAAGGGGTCAAAAAATATGGTGGCGGACCATTTGTCAAGGATCGAGCATCCAATTCAGGGAAATGAGGAAGAAACCCAAATCAAAGAGACTTTCTCAGATGAGGAGTTGATGAGAGTGGAGGAAGCACCATGGTTTACAGATTTCGCAAATTACTTGTCAGGGAGAGTGCTCCCCATTGGCATGACCTTCCAATATAAGAGGAAATTTTTCTCATATTTGAAATACTACTTCTGGGAAGAGTCATTCCTTTATAGACATTGTGCTGATAGGATGATCCGTAGGTGTGTTCCGAAAGAGGAGATGGAAAGTATTCTAAGACATTGTCATGAGAGGGAAGTTGGTGGCCATTTTGGAGGAGCAAGGACAGCAGCCAAGGTTCTTCAATCTGGGTTTTATGGGCCAACCCTTTTTAAGGATTCTTTTCAGATGGTTCAGGAATACGACCAATGTCAACGGAGTGGTAGTATTTCAAAGAGGGATGAGATTCTGTTGAACAACATTCTTGTTGTTGAGTTGTTTGATATTTGGGGAATTGACTTCATAGGTCCCTTCCCAAATTCTTTTGGAAACACATACATTTTGGTAGCAGTGGATTATGTATCAAAATGGGTGGAAGCAGTTGCATTGCCATCTAATGATGCTAGGGTTGTGATTAATTTTGTGAGGAAAAACATTCTCTCAAGATTTGGAGTACCACGGGCAGTCATTAGTGATAGGGGATCGCACTTTTGCAATAGGCAATTTAATGCCCTGTTGGGAAAGTGTGGAGTGATGCATAGAGTTGCAACACCTTATCATCCACAGACGAGCAGGCAAGTGGAACTGTCGAATAGAGAACTTAAGGGGATTCTAGAAAAGACAGTTAATGCATTTAGGAAAGATTGATCACGAAAATTGGATGATGCATTATGGGCCTATCGAACTGCATTTAAGACCTCGATTGGTATGTCTCCATTCAGGATGGTCTATGGGAAGGCATGTCACTTGCCGATAGAACTCGAGCATAAAGCATATTGGGTAGTCAAGTAACTCAACATGGACTTACGAGCTGCTGGGGAGGAAAGGATGTTGACTTTGAACGAACTCGATGAGTTCCGTCTTGAAGCATATGAGAATGCTCGGATGTATAAGGAGAAGACCAAGAAGTGGCATGATAAGCATACTAGGAAGAAGAACTTTGAAGTGGGTCAAAAGGTTTTATTATTTAATTCTAGGCTTAGGCTTTTCCCCGGAAAACTTAAATCTAGATGGTCTAGACCATTCATAGTTACAAGGGTTTTCCCATACGGAGCGGTGGAAGTGTCACATGAAGAAAAGGGCACCTTTACAGTCAATGGACAGAGACTGAAGTCATACATAGATGGGATGCTGAGTTGCAAATCCATCTTAATCCGGCTTGACATTCCAACTTGAAAGATTGAGAGAGTCGAGCTTTCCGACTATAAACAAGCGCTTCTTGGGAGGCAACCCAAGTGTTTTCAATTGTTTTTCAATTCATTGTTGTTTGAATTTGTTTGGTTTTCTTTTGCCTTTGAATGAGTTTTAATTTGTGTGTTTTTGGGTGTTTCAGGTGAAGTTATAAGCTAAGGCAAAGAAAGAAAAAGTTCCAGACTTCGCCGGGGCAAA